TTAATTTTGTAATGATTAAATTGTGTAGTTCATGGACACAAAGGAACAGTCCAATTTTTGAGACTGTTTTATATATTTAAAATAAATACCTAAAAATTAATCTACTGTTGAAAGAAAACAGACAAAGTTCCATGTTAGGTATAGATCTTTTTCATACTTATGATTTCAACTTTAAAACTCAACAATTGACTTGTCTGCTTTTAATTGCTAACCACACAATTGTAAGGGAAATCAGAATGGGAAGGGATAAGAGAAGTTGAATGGTTCTGTTTTTAAGAACCACAATTTTCAACAATTTTGTCAATTTCTTTAGCAGTATTCACAATCCTTCTTTCTCTTGTGTAGACAAGTGTAGTCAAAGATCCCATATCAGTCACAGCCATATTCACTCTCTTAACTATTAAAATTTGTGACGCATGCTTACAGTGTCTTAATACCAATAAAGGTCTTGGTCCAGACATAATATCTTAACTTATTTTTAGGGAATTGTGCATTCTTTTTATGTAGGCATCTATGGCTTATTTTTTATAAATCTCTGACTGAGGGTCACTTTTCATCACAATTTATTTATTGATTTTATCCTTGACTCATTGATTCCTAATTATCGTTCCATTATAATTCTTTCTGCTATTCCTAAAATTGTCGAGGCTTTACTGACTGATTTTTTGACAGTAAATTTGAAGAATCAGCTTCATACTGGTCAGTGTGGTTTACTTACTGTCTAGTCGTTCAACTTCAACTAATTTACACTGATTATGTTATAATTGCATTAAAAACCATTTTTATGTTGATTAGATTTATACTGACTCATCTACAAGCATCAACTGTTCTTGTAAATTGTGTAGACCATATTTTTATTATGATATGATCAATTTCTTGAATCTGGATTCTCTTATCAAAAGTGTTACCTTTTAATATTTATTTTTCAACTTGTTTATAAAATAACCAATCTACTGAATTGCTTCAGCTAGTTTGTTTTCATATTCCTTCCCATTCACTGTGTCAGAATTTACATTTCCATGTTCCTTACCACAGAACTAATTATGTTTCACACATAGAGATGGTCTAAAACTTTCATATCAATAGCTTTAGGTACTATTTGAAGCACTTAAATGCTAAATGAAATTTATTATAAATGTGTACTTATTTATTTTATTCATGTATATTTTATTGTATCTGTAATTTTGTCTATATTTCTATAATGTTGCATTTTTGTATAATTTTGACAGTGAATTTGTTCCATTTGTTATTAAATAAATATATGTAATAATAAATGTTAGTTCCTTTAAACATTTATGTTTTATTACACAAAATTATTTTATATTTCTATAATGTTGCATTTTTGCATAATTTTGACAATGAATTTGTCCCGTTTGTTAATAATAAATAAATATAAATAAATGTAATAATAAATGTAAGTTTCTTTAAACATTTACGTTTTATTTCCCAAAATACATTCTTAATATGCACACGATGACACCACTTTTAGTACTTTATACAATGGCGTTGACATCTAATTTACATCCTCAGCGCTAAAATAGATCTCCGAAATCATAACAAAAGTCCGTCAAGTAAGTCCTCTGGACGTATTATGGACGTCCGATTAAGGTCCAATTAACGTCCCGGTACGTCCGCTCGGTACCTAAAATGGACGTCCATAGGACGTTTGGCGCAGCAACATTCGGACCAATATAGGACGTAAAACGGACGTAAATAGGACCAAAGCGGACGTTCGAGGGACGTCCCTAAAGTCCGCGAGGGACGTACTATGGACGTCCACTGGACGTACATGTGCTATTAGGGATATATATATATATATATATATATATATATATATATATATATATATATATATATATATTCCTCCAAACCAATCAATAACAGAAACAGATCTTACAGATTTATTGGATCATAACCCACTGTGGGGAACTCTAGGAACAAACTCTAAAGGAAAAATCTTGGAAAACTTGATAATTTCTAAAAACTTTATAATGTATACTGTAATACTGGATGTAATACTGTTTTTGTATGGTAGCGATCATTATCCCATTAAAATTTCTATGACAATTAATGACAACAAGATCAATAAATTCCCGATTCCAAAATGGAACTTGAAAAAAGCAGATTGGTTTTCATTTAAAACCTATATCCAATGCAATTACCAAACATTAGAAGAAACTACAAAATATCAATCCATAGATGAAATATTAAGTTCATTTACATCACTATTATATACCGCTGCTAACATTTATGTAGGAAAAACAAAAACTTTGAAAAGAACTTCCCTTCCATGGTGGAGTGCAGATTGTAGCCGAGTTATTGGGGACCGTTTTATAAAATATTTATTTAAAAAAAAAAAAAACTCGAGCAAATCCTTTATTCTACGAGATAATTCGAAGGTTGTTTTTATAGGATTCAATTTCCAAACTTCTTTGATAAGTCGACTACGGCTGCATTTCCACCATGGACAATACCCCCTTTACAAGCGATCTAACTCTTACCAAATACAACAAATTTAAAACTCCTCACAAATAATAAACCAAGAATCATTTAACAAACTGTCCTGTTTTCTGATGATGATCACATCTATACAGATGCATCCAAATCCGCTGATGGTGTAGGATCAGCAATCGTCACTCCAAATACCACATTGCAATTCAAACTATCACCTACTAGCAGTATTCTTTCTGAAGAACTGTACTCGATTCTACAAGCATTAATTCATACAAACAACCACATCTCAAAAATCCTGATAATTACTTACTCTCTTAGTGCATTACATTAGATAAAACAGCTCTATACCAGTAATCCTATCGTTCATCTAATACAACATCAATAAAACCTTATAAACCAGGCAAAACAGCAAATTCGTTTCCTCTGGGTTCCATCACACACTGGTTTGGAAGGCAATGAAAAAGCGGATCATTAAGCTAGTGAAGCAATACAAAGTGCATCATCAATAACACTGAATACAGTGTCTGTACCGGATCGTAAAAAAGAAAGTGCTAAGTGAATGGGGAAATAAATGGCAACAATCAAAATCATTTCTAAACACTATTAAGCCTCTATACTAGAGGCCTAGTATAGCGGGAGGACACTATAGTCCTCCCGCTAATAACTCCAAGTAGTTGATGCGGTTAATAGAGAAAAAAAAGACTAAAGAAATTATTAACACCGTCAAAAACAAAAAATTAGTTTGCTTTGGCCACATTCTGCGTAGGGTATACTGTGCAAATACCGGTCAGTGGGTAATGGCTGTCATCCCGATTGTGCGAAATCTATTCAATCTGGCAACCTCCTATAACTGCCAACGTGTCGCTACACTACTCTGTATTCAGATTGCTGACGAGGATTGACTTGGCGCAAACCATTGTCATAGAAATATTATTAACCTGTTTTCAGTGTTTTCGATCATATTTTTATGCTGAGTAATATAAGGTCTTAATTCATTTTTATTCACTTGTAGATCTTAAAATTGGTTACAATTGATTATAATGACGTTAGCTGCCTATTCCTTTTTTAAAGATCAATATTTTAATACATGTTTACGAGTCAAAAATTCTAAGAAAAAAAATGCCAACAGGAGGCAATGCCGGTCAGTTGACCGGTATTACCCCCATGCTATAATTTATACCCTATACTATTAATCCTTAGGGATTAATCCATCCATTTTTCGACATTGCAAGAAAGAATAAAAAATAAAAATCTTTAAGGTGTCTCATTAGGTAGAAAATCAGTATTTTCTATTTAAGCTAAAATAGCCACACAAAAAAATCTTAATTTTTTATGGCGTAACAGCAATAGAACTGAGAAAATTAGCATTTGGGTTTACAAGATAATTTTTCTTGTAATAAAACACCTTTTTCTTGTAATTGGCATTACAAGAAAAAGGTGTTTGATTCTAGTTCTTTGGAATCGGATATTGATATATCATGTGATAACAGTGACGATGCATACGAAGATAGATGCCTGGTTTACAGCGAGTTTGGCAAAAACAATGAATTGTGGTATATATTTACCGTTTGCTCACGATGGGCTTATTCAGAGTGCAGTGGATGGGATTCTGCAGAGAGTTATACCTGCGATGACTGTCAACTATTTTTACATTAAAACACATATTTTTGTTATTTTTTGTTTGTTTTGTAATTAAAAATATTTTTTCACCTTTCTTACTGATTTACTTTAATTATAACCCATTAAGCCACATTCGTTAATCGTTTTATAACAAAAAAATGTTAAATATATATTGATTTTTATTTTAATAATAACACAAACAAATTGACTGGCATTACCCACACTCATGACCGGTATTGTCCATGTATGGTGACAATACCGGTCAAAGAAACTTTTTTTTGTTTTGTCTCTGTCAAAGACAAAAATTTTATATTTTTGAAATTAAATGTATCTTGCAATAAGTTAAAACCCCAAATTACGGATTGACGGCTTAAATTTGATTCACAGAGTTTTACTTTTTTTTATATTAAATTTTCTTCTTAGGTGACCGCGATTTGCACACTTTACCCTAATAATAAAAATAGACATTTAATTCTACACGGCAAGATTGAGAACAAGAGAGACTCTGGACACAGACATATATCCTGGCTGGCCAGCCAGAGGATATGGACTGGTCTAACGTCAAGTGATCATATTTCGAGCTGCAGTGAATAGAATAAGATAACAATTTACTTCCAGACATCTTAATTGATTACTTAATATGATATAATATTCTCCATAAAATTTAGTTGTCCTTTACAGTAATGTTACTAATAAACTGATGCCTTTTTAACTTTTAAATAAAAAAATGCTTCTAATGTCAAGAGAAAAAAATGCTCCCAATTCTAGTTATATCTTATCAATACTTTTCTTTACATTGAATGTTTAAAAAACTATCATAAATCCCGATATCGGTGATCTAAGAGATAAGTTTCCTTAGAAAATAAATATATAGTTATTTAAAATTTTGCTTAGTAACAAACCATATCTACTTTTATAAAGAAGCCATGGCGCAAATCTTAGCTCCTTTAATTCTCACAATTTTGCCCAATATTGGGGGAATAGCTGGTTCATTTATTGTAAAAAATAATATGAAGTCATGGTATGACACCTTAAAGAAACCAAATCTTAGGCCACCCAAATGGGCCTTTGCTCCAGTCTGGACAACTTTATATTGCTTGATGGGATATGCATCATATTTGGTTTACGAAAGTGGAAACGGATTGAATGCTATGTATCATTATATTCGCAAATAAAATTAATGGTATTTTAGGTAATTAGAGATTTTAAATGTTTTAAGGATCTGCTCATTGTTTTATGTACAAATAATTACTAGGTTGCGAAAATCTTGTTTGTATCTTTACTTATTTTTGTTCAGATTTTCCTTGACTGACCTATGTTCAATAATAAGAAAGGTCGGTATAAGTTTGATCTAATTGATGCTTGCTTCCCGCAGTTCTTGTCGTATTAGTGCATGGCCCCCCAATATACATTTTGCCAAGTGCTTAGCCTATTATAATTTATTATGTGTTTTAACCCATTAATGCCCAAAATTAAATTTTTATCAAAATTGAATCAAAACATCAGAATGAAATAAAGAGAGTTTGTTTTTAATAGAAATGTGCAAAATTTACGTTTTTTTTTTCTTTGTAACTGTTTTTTTTACGTATGATATATCATACGCTGGGCAATGAAGGACACAATATTTCATAAGATATGTTTTATTTTAAAATATTTACAACGTGTGATATTTGACAAAACATTTCTCGGGATGAAGTCCTACATTACATTTAATGCATCGATATTTGGTACTCTTGGTTGGTTGGTTTTTCTATTTTGTCTACCAAATGACCCACATTATCCAAACGAATTTCATCAGCAACATATTTTGAAGATTTTGGACGTACTCCACGTGGTGTTGGAATATCTGGAGCTGTCAGCAGGGCCTCCACAATTCATCTGTAAAAGTATAATAAAGAAATTGCCTCAATGTTGCGGTAAAGAAGCCACATGTTGACTATTGCCCCATTCAATCAAAATCTAAATATCGCCCAATACCATTTTTTGGATCGAATTCGAATCCTATATAAACCTCTTAGCTTATCGAATAAGTCTACACCACCCATTCATACATTTGCACAACGTTTGGTTGAGGGACCGCTATAATTTTTCTGTCTTTTTTGGACCACCTGTTACAATTTCCTATAGTAAATATTTCTGGAGTTGAAATATTAGTTGCCATAGTAACTTCATTATTGTCATTCCAGCGAACAAGAGTGAGCTGATGTTCATCGCTATATAGAGCGTGGGAAGTTCCACGAATTTCTTTTTTTACTTCTTTGAGTGGGGCTTTTTCAATTCTGTCTTTTCTAATTGTGCCGATACAGTGTATCTTTTCATCTCTCAACCGTGTCAGTAAAGGTAAAGATGTAAAAAAATTATCAATATAGATAACAGATTCTTGTGGTAAAAACCCTATACACAGCTTTTCGGTTACGGAACTTCCTAATGAGTTGCCCTGTAATTTATTTCCACTTCCAGTATAGGGAAGAAATTTTGCAAGGTAACCTTTACTGGTCGCAACACACCAGAATTTATATCCGTAACGGATGGGTTTTCCTCGGATAAACTGCTTCATTGAATGATGCCCATAATATGGCTCCACCGCTTCGTCCACTGAGAAACTTCCGTTCACTGGCTGGAGGTAATCATGAAAACGTTCATTTAGATGGTCAATTAGGGGTTGAACTTTGAATGCTTTATTGGTTTGTTGGTACGACGTATTATCGTTAAAGTGTAAAAATCTATGAATCTGTTTAAATCTGTTTCGACTCATAGTATTAGTTACTAGATGTGAGTGAGAGTCCCCTCGACATTCCCAATACATTCTTCTAGAAGGCAGTGAATGGTATTCAGAGAGAATAAGGATGCCGAAGTATTTATATAAATCATCAACGGACAAACAAAAAGGGCAGGATTTTTGTGAAGCATACTTTATTGTTTCTTTGCAAAGATAGTCCATAAATTTTTTATCAAAGAATAATTTAAACACATCGATTGGCTTCAAATTTTGTTGTCTCTATTCATTTAGTATATCGGATACTATATTGTTTTTGAAAACATCATTTATGGCTCCTTTCTCTAGTTTTTTTTTCCACTTACGATCGATTCTTTTCATAGATTTTTTTCTGTTTTCAAAAGTTTGTGAAATTTCTGCAACCTCCCTTTTTCTTTTCTTACCTGAATCATTTCCATCATTTGGATAATACAACGTGAGTTGAACTTCGTCATACTGGCCAATTTCCTTAGCCAAAGTATCGTCATCTTCTAAACTTTCATATATTTTCAACAATTCCTCTGCATCTTTGGGATTATTAGGATCATATTTTTTCGTCATTTTTTTCTAAAACAGAAACAATATTGATTAGTTACCATAAGTGCCCAGCGTATTATATATCATACGCAAGAACCAAAGATCTTCAAAATACTCACAAATATAAATTTCAGTACTATTTATATCACTATTCGATATTTAGAAGCCTTTCTAGTTGAACAGTACAAAAGATTTTTCAAAATAAGCCAAGTGAGTCATACAAACTCTGCTAAAATGAAAACGGTGTACTATAATATATCCAAAGAAAACTTGGCGCAAAACTAATCACTCTTCACCGCCAAGCGGTCATAAATTTCTCATTTTATGATAAAGAGTTACCTTCTATCATCTACTCTGTAACCTATATTGGGAAAACAGGTAATTTTTACTTTTTTTTCTGACTAGTAGATGGCGAAATATGTAGCAGTGTCTCGCGTATTGCATAAAATACGGTGGGCATTAATGGGTTAACCGAGATCTTCTTGCCGCTCTCCTATAAAAGTCCACTTAATAGTTTAGCGTTATATTTTTTGGTTACTTGGCATACTTTTGCCGCATATGTTAACACCGGTTTTAATGTTGTATTATAGATTTGTCTCATTGTATCTTCTCATATATTTTTTGCCATAACACCGAATTCAGAATCTTCATTTTACTAAGGTCTTTTATATTTTCTCTATTTCGTTCTGTACTAGTTAGCTTAATTCGCAAGTATGTATATGTATTTCTTGAAACTTTTTTTTGTGGTTCAGGTCTAGTTTTCCGTTGCTTTTTCCCTTTCTATACATAGATTCTATGTTTTATTTATATTTTTTTCCAGACCCCATTTTCTATATTCTAGCATAAGTTTCATTGGCATACATTCTAAACCTTACTTGTAATAACAATTTGATCATATGTGTAATGTAATATGTAGAGTATTATATGGCATCTCGATAGTATTTATGTTTCCACTCTCTCAGAGCCTCATCGTATATGTATTGAATAATACTGGACTCATTTTCTTAATTTCATTTTAGAGATATGGTTTTTGTACAGTTCTTTCAGTGCATCAATGAGAGTAATATTTATATTAGTATTCTCTAATTTGCCATCGCTTGTTAATGGGCATTGTGTCATATGCTTTCATTAAATCCACCATTAGTACATGTAATTCTTGTGCTTTAAAAATCATTTTTCCTATTACTTGGATTATGCTAAAAATATTGTCTGTTGTGATTCTACCTGCTCTGAATCCATTTTGCTCCTCAGATTCATACGTATTGTATTTTTCACACATGAGGTCTTTAACACTCTTCCACGTAGCTAATTGAGTGTCGTCATCATTAGCTATTCCATCCACCATCGGATGTAAGACTCCCTTAGGACATTCATTTCTGTTTGTTGTTTTTTGCATCTGTTGTCGTGACCAGCTATTTATTTGATGTCATCAGTCTATCTGGTTTAAGGTCTGCCTCTACTTCTCTTGTTTGCTCTTGGTCGCCAATCAATAGTTCGCTTCGTCCAACGGTTGTTTTTCATTCTTCCTATGTGTCCTGCCCAGTTGTTCGCCTTCTAATTTCTTTATTGGATTTGGTATCGCTGAGCTTAATGTTGAGTATTCTCCATTCCATAGCTCTTTGAGTCATTTCGAGTTTGTGGACCATCTTCTTCTTCTTAACGTGCCCTATCAAGTCCCCTTGACGTTGGCGATTAACATGGCGAAACTGTCTCTGTCTCGAGCTATTCTAAAGAGTTGCTCAGCTTTCTTTATTCCTGTCCACTCTCTGATATTCTTCAACCAAGAGGCCTGCTTTCTACCAATTCCTCTGCGTCCTTCGATTTTACCCATCATAATAAGTTGAAGAATATTATATCGGTCTCCCCTTACTACGTGTCCAAAATAGGCCATCTTTCTACATTTAATGTTAACAATCTACATTTAATGTTAATTTGTGGACCATGTTTTTGTTAAAAGCCCATATTTTAGTTTTATGTGTCAGAACGTCAATACGTACTGATCGAAAGTTTTTTCCTTTAATCTTCCGAATTATGCTTATGCTAAGGAACATCTATTTAACTCAGTGTTTAGTTTTGTTGTTATGATTTTTGGTCGCAAGTATATAGACGAATCAACCTTTTCTCTATTATTATTGTCCATAGTTATATCCAGAGATTCGTTTGTTAGATATTTAGTTTTTGCTAGTTTTATTTTTAGTCCTATTAATTTTGATTTTGTATTGAGGTCTAATAGCATTTTCTGCAATTCTTCTCTACCTTTTGCTATTAACCCAATACGTGAATTTACAGAAAGTGAAGTACGTTCTGGAAAAACAAAGGGGTGAGGTTGGGTGTATTTTTTGATATAGAGGGAGCATTCGACAACACTTCCTACAAAGGAATCAAAAGGGGATTCGTCTATATATGAGGTATATAATCGCCGGGCTTCAGCTGTTAATTTTAATTATATTTTTGTGTGTGTGTTTTCTATACATATAACAAATCCTACTCCATCATTTGAAGTGTTTTCTTCTTCTTTAAAACAAAATAGGTCGTTTGGCAAAGTATGTATTATTTTGTTTCATATTTTTACATTTAATATTTTGCTGTTACGGTACAGTAATGTGATCTAATTTAATGCTGTATTTTAACGATCTTTTTAAAATACATTATTTCCTGTTATTTCGTAAAACTTAAACTGGCTATCTCATTTATTATGTTGTAAGTACGAAGAATTTGGCCCCTTTAGTATTCTGGGTCAAAAATATAAACACAAGTGCAAGGTTTTTTATTACCGTGTCAATTAACTTTAAATTATCGTCATTCAAAATCGTCCGACAATAGGGTTGATTTATGGCATGCCCTTGCCTACGAGCTG